GGGGGGATTTGATAAGCATTAACTGTCATAAGGGTGCAGAGAAACTACTGTTATTAGCTAGCCACTCACAACCACATGCAGCCTGTCCACGTTAACAAAACGCAGTAAAGGTCGGATTACAACACACACATGGAGAGTGACTTTATTCTCTGCTCAGGTTTACTGCAACATTCATGCTCTGAAAATCGGAGGTAACCTTTAAAAACAAATATATAGAGGTTTATATTTGGTTTATGTCAGAAGAATATTTAATCAAAACAAGGATTTGTCATACAGTATTATTTTTGCCTCATTATTATAACAGCCTCAGTTATTAAGAGGTCACTTGTATTTGTTATACTAACAGGAGAGAGTATTTTAATCTAGCTATATCTAAGGTTAGCTGTGGCTTTAAATAAGCATGTCATGTGCCGAGGTGAGAAAGGAGCCAGGGTTTGAATTTCTTTCTCTATAGTGTTTTTCAATTACATACACAATCATATCTGTAACTCTTTATGTGATAAAGCATGGGCAACATTTTCTCCAGGGCATAACAATACTGCGTTGCACCCCTCTCTTGACAGTTGGCAGGAATAAGTAGAAATACTTTTGATTCCCACGTGTTTGAACAACAAGTCATACAAACTAGTTCTGTTCAAGCATAATCAGCAGTGCAGTACAACAGATCAGTCATTTCACCAATCATCTAAATACTTCAATATTTACACAGTGTTTTATACCTAAAGGTGAATTTGTGTCAAAATGACAGGTGGAGTTTCATGACAATTATTGTTGGTTGGCTTCTGTTGTTTCCTATTTATAGATCTCTCTCTAGTTACTCCTCTCTCCATCATCCTTGGAGAATTTTGAGTGCCACCCTCCTCCAACAATAAAGACTGAGGCAGTTATTGCTCTCAGTATTTTTGCTTTCTCTGAGTGCAGTGGTAGGTGAAAGGCAGGGAAGGAGCAGCAGTCATGGATGATGTATATAAAGCAGCGGTGAGTTCTTTTAGCTATGATAATTCCATTGGAGATGTTAACTTTTAAACATTTAATAATCAGAACATTTCGAACATTCTGATTTTTTGTGAGATTCGTAAAGATTCAAAATATCGTATGAATTCAAAATATATGTTTAACACACAACGTAAAATCCAATGCAGTACATGTTTTCTTTGAAAAGATACATCAAACCAATGTTGAGACTGTTTCAACTGTATGCTCTTTAAATTTGTGCCGCTCTATTAATGGTTTAGATTATATTGTCAGAATGTGTGCAACTATACATCAGAGAAAAAGGAGCAGGAAAGTAGATTACAGAATAGTTTTTAACATTTTAAGACTTTGACCTTCAGCAGAAAATATAATGAAACCTAACTAATAAAACAAGAAAAGAAAAAAAATTGGAGTAAATTAAATGGTATCCTGACTGCATGCATATTTTTCATTATGTTTTAAAGTCTTTGTGTGTTGATTCAACTTGTATAACATTCAAACAGTATGTGTGATGAGCTCAGACAGAGGGAGGCTGCTGTGTTCAATCTGTGGCCGACGCAAAGACAGCTCAGGGGACAGCTGATTGCTATTAAAACAAATTACCCAGCCAGACAGCAGCATGTGTCAAAGATTCCCCCTTTGTACTACCACAAAACAAGAATAGTAGGTGAGGAAAGCAGAGTGACATTGCAGTCCTTCTGCACTGAGAGCAGCCATCGTTCTGGCAGTGATTTATTGACAATAATCAGCATTATTTGCTTTCCTTAAAGGTTGAGAACTTGACAGAGGAGCAGAAAAATGGTGAGGAAACTTTAACTGTTAATACTTTGACCCATTACTTTCATTTTATCCATAATAACCATTATACTCCCAAGCTAATATACTTAATAGTTTTCTTCAAATATGAATACATCTACTATTAACAATACTATTTTATAGTATAGACTTCATTAAAGTCAGTGAGAGAACTTCTAACTGGTTAGGAAAAAAGTTTATATAATACTGATACATACTTTACATGACCTATAACCTATACATGATCATAAGTGAGAAGATTTGCTACTTCTATAGAATTGTTCTTAATGGTTGCCACCAGAGACAATAGGTCTGATTCCTTAGAAATCAGAAAAGCCCTGTTGCTAACTCCTTCAGCTCCAACCTTGCTGCTACATGGTTTTCATGACAGCCATCTTGGTGTTATATTGTGCTCATGGATTCTCTTCATTAGTTATCAGCCCTGTCTGCGTATCAGACAGTAACGGTTGCTGTGTCCCCTTCCAGAGTTTAAGGCTGCGTTTGACATCTTCATCCAAGATGCAGAGGATGGCTGCATCAGCACCAAAGAGTTGGGGAAGGTGATGAGAATGCTAGGACAGAATCCCACCCCAGAAGAGTTACAGGAGATGATCGATGAGGTGGATGAGGATGGTATGTCAGCAGTAACCCCACTGTAGGCATTAGGGGCATGGGAGTTTTATCGAGTGGAAGAAAATTATTTTTACATTGAACATTAGAGAAACATTACTCCAAATGTAATGGAAGAAAAACTGGATCTTAAGAGTTTAAATAACTGCATAACAACTGCAATATAACTAGTGTATGTTGACAGGCAGTGGCACAGTGGATTTTGATGAATTCTTGGTCATGATGGTCCGCTGTATGAAGGAGGAGAGCAAAGGAAAATCTGAGGAGGAATTGGCTGAACTGTTCCGCATGTTTGACAAGTAGGTTCTGCACAGAGCTGCTGTATTTAGAAAAATCTGCAAGTTGATGAGAGAAAAATTAGTTGACTAGTGATACTTAAAATATTTCTCAAAAAAACTTTGAATAATGTGTCAACATTTTGGAAAGAAATGACGTGGTTCATTACAGATGAGAATAAGACTGATTTGTTTATCTTGTGTTGAGGAACGGAGATGGCTACATAGATTTAGAAGAGCTGAAGGCCATGCTTGAGTCCACTGGAGAGGCCATCACAGAAGACGACATTGAAGAACTGATGAAGGATGGAGACAAAAACAACGATGGAAGAATTGATTATGACGGTACAGACGTCTATAACATGTTATAACAATGTTCATAGATATACAGCAACTTAGAATTTCCCCACCCTCCTCAGTTGTACCTCGGCTGGCCGTAAGGGGTCCTTTCAGGGTCATTGCCGGGTCCTTGGTAAAAATAAATCTCCCCCCAGATGACATAGTGAACGCGTGGCTCACTTGTGACTTGGCTTTGGTGCATTATGCAGATATCAGTTACAATGATTCATCTATCCACCGGATGGAGGACAGATGGAAGCTAAGGGAGATGTAATGTGAGGAAATGTGCTTCATCATGAATGACCAGGTCAAGACAGCATTAAGCTGAAGCTTGTTTTAACCATCTTGCCAGATGGTGAAAGACGACACGCCTGTAGTGAGTCCTCAGAACCATTATGTGGTCTATGAAAGCTCCAACAACATTTAAAAACATATTTGGCTAGCATAGTAAACCCTTAAAAACATGGCGACGCAAGTAGCCAGTTCAACAATAAGAAGAGAGACAATGCGAGCGGACAGCTGTAATTCAGACCGGAGAGGAAATCAGCATTAACAATGAAACGTGCTATTAAATGCATAGTGTAGGTTTCAGTTTGTAGGTCTCTGCTCTTGTCTCCCTCAACTCCTAATGCTGGTTCCTTTTTGTAAACATCACAGCATCTGTGCAAATAGCATACAGTAATATTCAGTAACCAGGATTCTACTATTAATCATTTATATGGGATATAAATAATCTTTCATATTTAACACTACATCTCAAATTAAAAAAACCAGGATGAGCCTAATAACCATATATTCCCTTCCTCATCGAAAATATTATTTATTTATTTATTTGTTCATAACCTGGATACTCATTTGGAGAACAATTCAAAGAGGGATAGACAATAGAATCTCAAAGTTCTTTTAACGCAGAACTAAAAATATGGAAAGCTGAATCCTGAATTGTCATCATACTTGATGTGAGGGAGTCTGGTCCGGCAACATTTACTGTTTATCATAGCCTAGCATGATCATATCTAGATGATCAGGTTAGCAAAATATCATGAAAAATAATTTTGTAAAACGCAAAGTGTTGCGTTTTAAATGCAGTGTAAGTAGTGAGACATGTCTCTAGTTACTGATTTTTGGTTATGTTCTTTATAAGAAAGCTTTGCAAAGGCATTATTCAACGAGATTCAAATGTAAACAGTATGCATTTAAATTGAATGATACGCAGCACTTATTTGATCAGAAATGTTAACTGTCAATGACATTATATTGTATTAATCTAGTATACAGTACGTAGTAACTTCTAACTTTCCTATATCAGTCTCACAAACACACACATAAACAAACACACACACACACACACACACGCACGCACGCCAGAGTCCTGCACGGGTCTGATTTTCAAGACCCGCTCCCGCCCCGCACCCGCGACGTGCAATACCGAACCCGCCCCGCTACCCGCACATATTGCCAATTAGTTCCGCAACCCGACCCGACCCGTCGGCACAGGATCCGCAACCCGACCCGAACCCGCATATATATAAGCAGTGAAAACGTACAATTATTAACACACGCAGTTGCATATTTGGCTCAAAAAGCCTGGGATGTTGGTTATTTTCTCCATCTAGGATGACACCAAAAGCCTCCCAGACGTTGGATTTTGCTCTTGAGGAAGAGTTATTGAAAATGCTGTATTCTCCGCTAGAGAGCTTCACCTCAGCCATTCAGAACGTGGCGCGCTCAGCAGCAGATAGATGCGCTGCAGAGGTTATGATTATGCTCGGTCCCGCGGGGGAGAGGTCTGCGGATTTAAACATTAAACTAAATTATTATTATTTTAAATATATTTATTATGCAACACCCGCAACCCGACCCGCATCATCTTTGTTTTACCCAGAACCGTAACCCTGGAAAAAAGCGTTTGAAAAAATACCACCAGCAAATCACCTTTTTTGCAGGTCACCCGTCGGGTACCCGCGGATACCCGACCCGATGCAGGACTCTGCGCCACCGTGCATATGTCCTCCACACTCATGCCGTTAAATAAGGCTGTTGACACAGCCATACCCCGTGTAGAGTGTGCACGGACCCC